GCGTTATTTGTGAGTGAAGCAAGCATATTTAAAGGGCACTTTCTTTAAAAGGGGGGGGTCGACAGCACCCATCGACCCCCCCCCACGGTACGCCCCTGCTATCAACTTGTATTTCTTTGATTTTCATAAATTTTGATATTTGCAAGTTTGTTTATTCTTTCTTTAGTACCTGTATATTTTTTCTAGTTTTTTTGTATAAAAAAAAACCTAACAAGCACACAACAGAGTGTATATTATAAATACACCTATGGGCATTCATCCATCAAATGAATAAGATGCAGTGAGTCAGATTGATTATTTTGGTATATATTTAATTTTTCTTATAAACTTGAATCTGCGTAAATAATCTGACTCAAAGTAGTGGGACAGGGATATAATTAAAAGGGGGTTTTTAAGCATTTTATTATTTCATCATCATAAAAAGGAATATACTGTATATGATTTAGGTAGTTAAGTTTGGCTTTTTTTTTGCATTCATCATGAATTTTAATCTGTATACAACCTAATAAATTTATAGGTTTTCATGTACACTTTGACAATAAATTATCTGAATCTGATATGTATGTACAGTATAATTGTTATTACTATATATGATTAACAGTGTAAAAGGCCCATTATAGAGGGCAAAAATTTGTATGTCGTCACTCATTACATAATGATAGCGTGGGTCAGTAGCGTCTAAAAAATTAGCGCGAATCAGTGGCCTCCTGAATGTGATCGGGATCAGACGTGTGTTTGACCACTCACTTATTATGTGATTCAAGTACATTTATGGTATGTTATATTTTACCTTTTATATTTATAGTGTTATAAGATTAGTTACTTAGTGTATTAATTACTGCCTTTAATGCATTGAAAGTCTCTTGTTATATGAATACAGCCTAAGCAAGGTGAAGTTTAACAAGGATACAACTGCCTTGTATATTCCTTTGTTCTAACTGCTTGTTCTTGATCCTTTGGTGTAAACAAGTTACAGTATTAGGTATTTAAATTTACTATGCTAAAGTATTAGTTGTAGTGGTAAGTTGGTAATAACTGCCCAATTTAACCTAAGTTATGACATAGCATGAGTAAGATTGATTTATGCAGTTTAATGTTATTTGAGTTACACGTATTGTACAGCATACATTGTCTTAGCCTGCATCCTGCTGTGGAACGGGCATCTCTGTTCTCTTTGATTGTTTCACGCTCATGTCAAAGGTCATCTTAAAACATAATCAAATATGGCTGTGCCCATTGGCATATAGCAGCGAGTATTATAAAGGTCTACAAGTCTGTCGATAGTGTTATTATATATTATATTGCTGTGATTATTTCACATGTCTCGAAGGTTAATCTATAGTAAACGTGCCTAATGATTAACACAGTATTTTTAGTGATTTATTTTTCAAGTACAGGCAAATGTTGATTTATTGTTTGTTTAAGATTTGATGATACCCATGTATCTAACAGTGTCACTACTGAGTATATTATCAAACAGATTTGTTTTATGTATTAGATGATGTACAGTCCTAAAAACATTGTGATGGCAGATGAGTGCTTATTGCTTATTATTGGATAGTTGCGCCATAGTTTCGTAAGTGTACTCTATAATATTGACTGACACTGCAGTTCTTATTATTATATTATGGTTATGAGTCATGCTTTGCTTTATTAATATTGTACTCGATTACTGAATGAAACTCTTATATTT